CATCATCGGATTACTGAGGTGAGTGTAAAGGGGGTAAATTCTACGCCTTACGATTTTTAAGTATCCGCATTGAGTATTTTTTCGAGTATTGATTTACGTGATGTATGTGCAGTATTTGCTTCATGTTTGAGTTTGCATGATTATGGTTGATGATATGTGCTTGTTTGAGTTATGACTTGAAGTTAATGGTTATTATTTACCTTGAAAATTTTATGAGTATAAGTTATTGTTAAAGTTTAAGAAACAAGGTCTTTTTAAGAAGTAACTCACCTTCAAGAAGGTGAAGTCGTTTTAAGTGTTTTTAGTCACTAGCGCCAGTCCGTCGCCATTTGAGATTTTCAGATAGAGCAGCAGTTATGCTCTGGAGATCTTTGAGACAGAGCAACAGTTATGCTCTTGAGACTTTTGAGATGAGCAGCAGTTATGCTCTTGAGAATCGTGGTGAAGAGCCACCACGATAAGTTTAAGATGTTAGGGGGATGAATCGTTACGACTTCCCTAACTAAGTTTAACTTTAAGGAAAGCCTGGATGGCTTCTCATACGTATGAGTTGGCAATCGGACTAGCTGGTGGAAGATCCCAGTGTCAGTCAAGTATTTAAGTGAAGCTTTGAGATTTAAGAATGGATTAACAGTAACTCCCATACAGTTTTAAGAGTTAAGCTTTTCGATAGTGGAAGTACAAAACAACTTCCACACAGTTAAGTAAAGTGCTCAAGTTTTAATAAGAGGTTAAACGTAAGGGCGTAGACTGACCCCATCTCACTCACCAGTTTGAAGAGCTAGAGGAGCTAGAGGAGCAATTAGTGAGTAGCGAGTTCGAGGCCAGCCAGCTAGAGGAGAGCAGTATAAGCGTCACGGAGGATGCCTAGTTAAGATTTTCAGTAGCAGCAACGACGTAGACTACCTAGCTATTTACATCTTATGATTATGAGTATAGACTGGAGATCAGATTGAGAATTTAAAATTTGATTTTAATTTGCCCACATGTTAGGGCTTTGCTAGTAAAAGTGTATGTTTTCAGTATTTTATTTATGAAAATGGTTTCCCAGTTGAAATTTAAGATTTGAGTATTTTTATTTATCAATGGCATTTTAGTAAAAGTAGTACCCGTCCCGGTTAGGGTGTTACACTTAAGTTAGGAGTTTCTTTCTTGTGAGCGTAATGGTGTTAATAGAATCACCCCCAATCCTTTCTTCGTGCCTAAACATGAGTCGTCCTTGTGTCCCAGAGCTCTCACTTTTGAGTTCCATAGAGGTTCTACATAGGAGGTTTGTGTGCAGTTCTTGCTAGGAATGAAAAATGAAGTGTAGTGTTGGAGTGAGTTCTTCAAAAAGAGAGCATTGATCGTTAATTGCATAGGTGGCAGGTGTTTTTACTCTCTAGTACCCCCTCAAAAAGAAAAGAAAAGAAAAGGAAAGGAAAGCGAAACGAAAAAGATGTAATAAAATGGGGCAAATAAAGTAGAGAATGCCACGAAAAACCAAAGTACATGCTCTATGAGGGGTTTCTTGGCACTCAAGCGATTGAAACCCCCCACATTGTTTTAGAACTCCTTCACTACCAAACCTTAATGTTCTAGCAAGAGTTGACCGGGGAAGAGTGCTTTGATGTAATTCACGATGGGTTATATTAGGAAGGGAGAGATAAGGTTTTTGGTAGATGCTATTGTCATTTGGTTGAGTCCAAGACAATTGCCAGTCATCTGAACCCGAGTCCAAGACCTCCGGACAAGCTAGTGGTGACAACCATCTCGTGAACTCTAGCATTTAGAGGTTACCGCCGTGGTATTGAGACGATAGGGTCGAGTGTTTATGATTGTGCACATCTTTTGCACGAAAAGGTCCCCATCCCACTAGTCTTGAGAGTGAGTGATTCTTTCTTGTTTTGCATGTCATATCATACCCCGGTGAGGACCTTTGTTGCCTTTCCATTTGTTCCTCGAACTTGAATTCTATGCATGGTTGGTTGTGGTTAATAAAGTGGTTTTGTTGAGACTTGCATTGATCCATGGACAAGGTGAGAACTTTTTGTTTGCCCGTTTTTGGTGGCTTCGAATGTCGTTTGTGGTGGATATTGGTATTGCTTGCAACGGTCCATGAGTTAATCGCCAATAGCCATCAAGAATTCCCACTTTGTGCCCTTTGAGTTGTCCCCAAAGTATTTGTGTAGGTTGAAATATTACCTTGTGTGAAATGGTTTGCTTGGGGACAAGCAAACGTCTAAGTATGGGGGAGTGATTCAAGCCTAATTGTACATGTTTTACCCCCGTTTTCTTAGGCGTTTACGACAATTTCGCTCCTAAAAGGGTGGTTTTACGCAGGTTTCTCGTCTTTTAGTGTGTTTCGGGATTTAACAGGTGAAACCAGCACCGGAGTCAAAAGTTGGACGACAAGGAGCGAAAACCGGGCGAAGAGGTGAAAAACGGCGAGTTCGCGGTTTTCCTTAGATGTTCACGGTCTTGTATGACCGTGAAAAAGAGTAGTTGGCCGTGAACATTGAGGCGTCCAGGGCCAAAATGCAAGTTATTGACGCTAATTGAGTTCACGGTCGCTAAGACCGCGAACAGGAGCTGTTGGCCGTGAACCCGTGGAAGCAAAGCGATACGTTTCGGAGCCCATCTGGAGTTCACGGACGCATTTCAGAGTTCACGGCCGTGAACTGAGCTCGTTCACTGTTTAAAAGCTGAGCTGAAAGGAAGAGAGAGAGAGAGAGAGCCCATTGTGTGAGAAAGCCTTCTTCAGATTTTTAGAAAGAGAAACACGAACCAAAGGAGAATGAGGCAAGGGTTTTGCCCCAAGGTGGGATTTGGGAAGATTCTCACCAAGAGAAGTTCAACACAAGGGTCTAGAAGATTGGAAGCCTCCCCCAAGATGGTTCTACCTCTTCTCCTTGTGTTTCTCCCATTTTCTAGCATGGAGTAGATTTCTTTTCACTTGGGTGTTGTGAAACCCTAACTAGCTACCATGTAGTTTCTTTTATGTGAACTGAATGATTGTCATTGGGTATTGTTTAATTCAATGATTGAGGTATTATTCATGTGATTGTGCATGCTTGTGCTTAGCAACCTAAAGATTGTGCATGTTTTGTACTTAGCATCAGTAGGTTTGTGCATGTTGGTGCTTAGCAACCTAAGAATTGTGCATAATTGTACTTAGCATCCTTATGTTAGTGCATGTTGGTGCTTAGCAATCTAATTAGCCACTTTAACCTAGATTAGAGAGGAAAATTCCCCTTCCAAGGGAGACTCAATTGAGTTGGTTCTCCTTTAGTTTTTCAAGCCACCTAACTAGCTTAATTTAGGGCAAACCTCAATGTTAAATTAAGCAAATTGGTTAAGCATGATTAAGCCGTCCAACCCTTGAGTTGAGTGAGGGAGTAAGTCAACCACCGATTGCCTAAACCGAGAGGGACGAGTGACACGGGCTATAATGTATACCTCGATTTAGCGATCGAGAATGTGGTCTACGACCATTTTGCATCCCTCTGCGGTTCGCGGTTACCTTGCCCATAACAATCATTTCAATTCACCTACCATGGTAGTAGTTAGGGGGAAACGACACACGAGTGATCCTTCTCACAAAGAGCTTTCAAAACCATTTAACTTTGCCTTATTTTATTTTAATTACCTTGTTGCTAGATAATGATTCAAATGACTGAAGTAGGATTACACAGACTGGCCCAGGTTGATATTTAAACATACTTATCCTGTACTGCACCTGGCTAAGGTTTATACTTGGACCTTAGGCGTGAATTTATTGTGGTATTCGGGACGAGTCACCTATATTGCACCCATCTAAGGTTTATACTTGGGCCTTAGGTGGATTTTATTGTGATAGTCGGAGCGAGTCGGGGAACCTTTGTCGTTGCGTGGAATCTTGGAATCAGACTCGGGAGTAGTGACTTCAGGGTTCTCACCCAATTCAACATCCTCCATTTTTTTTTGTTTTTGCTCTATGGTAGGTTCTCGAAAAAAAAAACCTTAGCAACACACGCCGGATCCTTTGGTAGCAATTACCCTTCCTTTTATATTTACGTTTGGCCAACAAAACATTATTGTCTTCCGAATTATGCACAATATTTTTATACCAAAATTACATATGATTATGTGCAACATAATTTAAATATAATGATATATCTTGTTTCAAGTATTTTATCATGAAACATATTATTTTTACCGTTTGTAATTGAAACTTCGGTTATATTATAACCGTAAGAACAAAACAAGAATTGAACTTAAAATGTAAAATAAACTGAAAATGGACATATAAAAAAGCTTGAAATCACATGAAAAAGTGCCAAATTCTTCTTTAAAATGTGAAGTAAAATGAAAAGTTGTGAAATAAACTGGACATGTCCAACTTGAAATTATTTGAGAAAAAGTAAAGTTTGGTTTAAAGTAAAGTTCGGCTTACTAATAATTCAAAACAAAAGTACTATTATGATTTCAAATTTGAAATTAAATCAAGTCATATAATATAGCAGTCAAGATTTGACCATTTATAAATAGAAACATGTCGAATTTTCAATGAAATTAAATTGAAAAAGAGAGAGGGTGATCAAAACTAAACAAGTGATTTCAAAGAAGTTAATTCTAGATTAAAAGGAATTGTTGAAAATAGTTGTGGGAAGACTCATAATTACTTAACTAGCAAAAATATGATTACAATTCCAAATGCAGGCAATCGAACCCTCCATACATTGAAAACACAGATTGAAATCATGAAGAAAAACACAAAAACCACATCCTTCTACAAAATATCCATAAAGGAAAAAGATATCCAAAAACAAAAAACAAAAAACAGATTGATTCATTTGTTGCATGAACAATCTCCTTCTTCCTCTTCACTAAACTTGTGGACGAGCCCGAAATCCACTACCAGCATCATCAATTAAATCATCATCCTCATCATCATCATCAGCTCCCATATCCCTCTATACATCCCTATCTTCTTGATCCCTGTTTTCTAGCATTCTCTTAAGCATGTCGTCTATCTGACGTCATTGCTGATCATCTTGTACTGGGTCTCGGAGATCTTCAATGATGGCGGCAACAGGATGATACACAGAAATGCCACCAGAGGATGGATAAGTAGCAAGCTCCACACCAGCTTTTTTGAGGAACGTGGTCACCAGAGTGGCATAAGGAATGCTAGTAATACCATCCTTGTTATCAATAGCAGGAACAAAATTGAGAATATTTACACACATCAGGGATGAAAGATTGACCTTTTACCCTTTGGATGCATGAGACAGGACAAATATATCAAGGGAAGCAACACATTATTGCGGGGTAGGAAAAAATGAGTGACAAGCCAGTGAAGCAAACAAAGATCATCATCCAGAACAAAGCTATCTTTGTTCCCTCCTATTAGAACCCAGATGTCTGACTCATAGTTCACATAATCCTGCTCATCTATCAAACAGACACCTCCGCAATGAAGCTTCAATTTTTCAGAAAAAGTTTCAATTTTTATGGCTTGACACCAAAGAAGGCGTTAGAGCTGTACGACATGACCTTCCTGACGTGAGCAGAGATGTGCGAGAAGGTGGTTTCTTTTTATACCTTGGTCTCCGTTGAATGCCTTGTGTACCAATATGTATTGGTTGAATTAAGCATTGAATGTTTGGTCATGTGTAGATACTTCTTCCGGTGAGGGAAAGGCTGCCTGATGGGAAGCTGCACTGGTATCTAGCTATAATTTTCATAAAAAGCAAGAAGTCCACATCCTTGATCCAAGTCAATATGAGGAGCGGAAGGCAGTACGTTAGAGAGTTGTGGAAAGAATGATGGAGTTATTAAACTGCGTGTGGTTCTTATGTAATCATCCATCTCTACATCTGTGTTTTTCATTACCAACGCCTCATCAATTATGCAGATGGTCTTTTTGGATAGCTTGTGGCAGGCTCTGTACCTTGAACGCGAACACACATGCGAGCCGCCGATATTTCTAGGCTATAAATACACAAGGCCTCCTTTCCAAGAACAAATGGATGAGTAAGAATGTTTCTTTCTGCTTCATTTCAAAGGCGTGCTTATGAAATAATTTCTCATGCAATGATTTTCATCTTTTGTAGGTCTAATAGTGGGGTGTGGGTGTGTCTGTGGATGACGGATACACGACTGGATTCATATTTCTTACGGGTGAGCCGTTCGCTAATGTTATTATTCGATGCAAGCAACGACACCATTTTCTAACATTAAATCTTCTTTGTATACTTAATATAAATTGTTTGATGTTCGTACAACTAGGTGTCCCGGTGAGGCAAATGGAACTGACTCTGTTTCTTGTACGACATCATGGCACATCTTGAGGCATAAGGTGTTGAAGGAAGCCAAAAAAACTAGCACCTAAACTTGGAGCTCTCACACTCGAGTACAAGGAAGATCACCAAAAGAGACGGGAAGAAAGAGGGAACTTGGACTTGGAGAATTGTAGTTTTGTATATGATTAGTTAATTGGCTTTTTTTTTTTTGCTAAGAACAATCGTGTTTTTCTTGCCTCGATTTTAGTTTATATTGGCTGCTTTTGTTTGTGAAGTATTAATTATGTTATATAGTCATTGCTTTCTCACTTGGTAGTTGCTACGATGAAAGATACACAACAATTATGCATCAGTATTTCAACGAAAAAGAAAATGCGAGTTAACGTAACCATAAAAAAAGGCCAATTCCTACTCACCCCAAGGCCTACAAACAAACTCAATCAAACTAATGAATTGATCCCAACGTACTACTCAAGTCCCCAGTAAAACAAAACAAAATCGTATATCTCTTGGAGAAGATGTTCTCCTCCATCAAAGTCTTTCAAATGCTTGTGGGGTGCTCGAAGAAAATTGTGGAGTAGTGCGGATGTCAACAAATCATTTCTCGTTTAAATTTAGTTATCAAAATTACAAATTTAATAGATTGCATTCAAATATTCAGTCACTGGCCCACTAGACACTTGATAACCCCCTTGTTGGGTGGTTTTGATAGAATTGAGCAACTATGAGATTGAATTGAACTCAATTCAACTCTTCGACAAAAAACAGGGTGTTTGTGTCGATTTATGGCTTCGCTCTTTCGTGCAATCGCTCACAAGGGATGAAGGCTCGACAAGAATCAGGTAGTAGTTGAACATAATCAAGGGTGAATGGCTTGATGGATACAACAACGAGTGCCCTAGAACTTGTTCTAAGCAACTCTAAATCACAAGGCAAAAACTTCTGAATCAAACTTGATGTTTGTATTCGATTTAACCAAAAACTGAATATTACAACGAGAGACTCGACTTAAATAGAACCTAGAGACGTTTACCAATACTAAAGGAACTCCTAATTAGGTTACAACTCGAAAAGAACTGAAACAAACAAGGAAAAGGACTTAAATTCCAAAACAGACTCGTAATCCTAATCCGATAAGGATTCGGATTTTGTATGTTCCAAAGGCAGAAAACATGTTTTCGAATGATCTTTGGAGCTTTTTGTTCGAAGGCTTCCAAGCTCCATTCCAATCATCCAATTCCACGACGTTGTAGTATGAAATTCCTATTTTCATGTTACATCAGCCTTGCAACTCGAATCTGGCTCAAACTCGTCGAATCGAAGCTCAAAAGAACCCTCCTAACTCAACTCCAAACTTATGCAATTTTGCCAGTTTTTCCCATGTTGAGCCAGAAATTTGATCGACTTGAAAAACACCCTTTTGGCCTTCCTCTTGAGCTCCAAAGCATGTCAATGGAAAGAAGAACTCTTCTTCTTTAGTACAAGCCATGGAAGTCTAATTTTCACCAAACCAATAAAAGGTTGCACACGTCCAAAGTTGGTTCCTAAAATTGTCAAAAATACTTGGACAGTTTCTACAGTTTAGCTTTAAGTCTTCAATGATCAATCTCGACTGAATGAGAAGAGAATTTAGGATGGCATCAGGCCCCCCTGTTGAGAAATCTTTGCCCTCAAAGCTTTGGTCTTTCTCTCTTCAAAACCTTCAGCAAATCGATCCCATATTGGATTGAAAGAGACCCTCCCAAACTACCATTTCTGGGAAATTAGGGCTTTGTTCTTCATGTTCCAAATTGGGGCTTTTGAATCCCGCATCTCCAGCTCAATTCACCATCACCATTGTCTTTGTCATCCTCCGAATCGAGTTTTTGGATGGGTCTCGCGTCTCGACTCGTCGTTTGTTTTGTCAAATTGACGTTTGTGCCTTCCCCGCCTTCGTTGACTGTCAAAGTTTGCGAAAGCCACCAACTTGATCTCAGAATTGGGCGTTTCTACCTCTGGAAACCTTGAGTGAAATTGAAGCATCAATAGTTCGCGTCGAATTATCCCCATTCGCCTCCAAACGTCTCCGGTCTTCCCATACTTCTTCTGGCGACAATGGCTTGAGCATATGCTGCTTCCCTTTATGCCAAACCTTGTACTGATTTGTGCCACCATAATGACAGATGTCGCGATCTAATTGCCAAGGTCTTCCCAACAGTATGTGAGTGGCCTGCATCGGAGCTACGTCGAACTCGAGCTCCTCCCAATATCCTTTGATCTCGAAGCTCACCTTAGCTCTTTTCGTCACCCGAATTTCCCCATAATCGTTTAACCCGTGCAAATTGTAGGGTTTAGGATGCCTCATCACGCTCAATCGGAGTTTATTCACTGTGTCTTGACTGATGACGTTTACACAACTTTCTCTGTCAATGATCAATGAAAGAAAGTGACCTTGAACAAGGCAACGAGAGTGAAACAGGGTTTGCCACTAGCTTGAGTCCTGGTCGTTCTTGATGGTAATAGCTCTCCTGCTGACTCCTAGAAGCTTCCCAGCTGGAGCCAGATTGCTCGTTGTCAGTGTAGTACTCACCATCCTTAAGGATTAAAGCTTTAAACGTTGGGACATTGATTGGCCTTATGGCCTCGCCCATGACACTTGAAACACTGGATCCCTCCTGAACGATCTGAAGGAGCTAGATTAGTGTTTCTATGAGCCAATTTGGTGTTGTTGGGTCGATGTTGAGGCGGATTGACTTTAGAGTTAAGCTCTGTGGTCTGCTTCGCCGTCGGAGTAAACCTTTGACCATACGATGCTTTCTGTTGCTTCTCTATCATAATGGCGAGATGTAGTGCCTCTTCTAGATAAAACAAAAGACCTCAAGTTGACCTCCTGTCGAATTTCTTGACTCCATCCATCAAGGAATTGAGTGATTTTCTCTTCTCTGTCTTCTTGCACTTCAGCTCGCATTAGAAGAAGTTCCAATTTGCGAACGTACTCCTCCACAGTCCGTCCTCCCAGCCGAATCCCTTGTAAGGATTCATGGAGATCCCTTTGATAGTAAGCTGGCACGAATCGATTGCACATCAATCCACGTAGCTGTTCCCAATCCGCCACCTCTGGCTGCAAGTTTCATCACTGTCGGAGACGAATTTATTCTCACCACTGAGAAGTGTAGTCAGTAAACTCATAAGTGGGAAAGGCCATCTTTTGCTGCTCCGTATAATGCCCTCACTGGAAGAAAGAGGATCATCTTCCGCTCCCAGTCGAGGTAAGCAGAGGCATTAATTGTGCCCTGAAACGCTGGAAAGACCAATTTGATCGTAGGTGGGATCGCGGGTGGCTCTACCTCCTGTTGAACACGCCACTCTCGATAGGGCCGGTCATGTTGGGGGTTCTGCAAAGATTAGCCATTGTTCCAGCTCCGCAATTTTGCCCATCAGCTCTAGATTGCCCGCTGGATTAGCGTCGCCGGGACTTCCCCTTCTCAGGCTCTATTTTCTAGATGAGCAATTGCATCGATCTTTTGATCAATTACCTGCCTGAATTGACCCAATCTCGTGTTAATCCGTCGCATCAACTCCTCTATATCAATTTCCTGCCCCCACCATTGCTTGAGCTTCAATCAGAACTTCGAATTTAAGATCTACCTCCGCCTTTGGTTTCTGAAGTAGAACTGCAGGGTCGCTGGAGAAGGGACCCTTCGACCTCGTCCAGCGTGTTGTTCCAGCAACATTTTTCTCCATCCTGGCCACTGTGATTGAACCAGGCTCGTGATACCACTTGATAACCCCCTGGTCGGGTGGTTTTGATCAGAATTGTGTAGCTATGAGATTGAATAGAACTCAATTCAACTCTTCGACAAAAAAAGGGTGTTTAGGTCGGTTTATGGCTTTGCAGTTTTGTGCAATCACTCACAAGGGACGAAGGCTCGACAAGAATCAGGTAGTAGCTGGCCACAATCAAG